TCTCACCGTCTTCTTGGTCTTCTTGTCCTTTTTGCCTTTCTTCACCACTTTCTCTGGAAGGTTAAACAGACATCACATTAGCTTATTCTAATGCCCAGCAGTCCAAGCTTCCTGCAGAGCTCCAACTGGCTCTACCATGAAGAACTAGTCTGGTCATCACTCCCTGGTCTTACAGAAACAATCACTTCTACTTTCATCCATTCACACAAACACCTATTACTTTAAGGCATTTTTAAAGATTTTTTAAAATAAGTATCGTGTGTATGTGCACTATGAGCCTACCATCCCACCTAACTGGAGTTACGGATGTCATGAGCCACCATGAACGTGTCCTCTGCAAGAGCAGCAAGTGCTTGTCATCATTCGCCATCTGTCCTGTCCTACAAAGACCTATTTATTAAACAGACATGAGGCGTCAGAAAATGCTTGCACTGGGGGTGCAAGCAGCGAATAAGACCACGGTGGCTTCCCCCAGTGCTTGTAGGCCTTTGGAAGACAGGTCTTTACAGAGACAGTTCCTGAACTTGCCCAAGGGGAAGAAAGGGCAGATCTGGTGGGGAGAGAGGCTAGCCTCAGGTCTAGAGCCAAGCATGGCCCCGTGGAGGAGGCAGCTGGCTAAGCCTAGAGAAGCTGTCAGGCACAGTGACATGTTCAGATCAGCTGTGAGAAAGAAGAAACACACAGCTGGCACACCTAGGTCAAACGGAACAGCATCAGGTAGCAGGCAGGGGCTTTTTAGTCGGGTAAGGAACCACAATGTGTTGCATGATCTTTTGCACCTTCAAGTCTTGCATCCACTTCAGAGTGGGGCAAGGACGGGAGGGGACAAGAAAATCGGAGAAATCTGCTGAGACTATTTCAGTATTTTTATGGGGGGAGGAGAGGGACGGGGGCAGAATGCACAGGGTGGAGAGGTGCCCAGACATGCAGTATGAAGTACATTCCTGTGTGGTCTTGCATCCCAGAGAGTGACCGAAAGACCATCTGTCTCTCAGGGAGCAAAGGGAGTCAGACTGATTCCACTCCTGCCCAATGTGTCACTCCAGGCAGCGGTCTACGAGCAACCGCCACTCTCCATCCAGAGGCAGAAGGGATCACACGACTCCCCTCATGGCCAGGCCTACAACCATGTCTTCTGAATGACCACACTCACTCATAGCAGTTTGGTACTCAGTCCTGTGACACACAAGCAGCTCTCTGCTATCACTGCATTCTTTAAAAAAAAAAATACATCTATTTTATGTGTATGGGTGTTTTATCTGCATGTGGTGCTCAAGGGGGCCAGGAGAGGGCGACAGATCTTACAGGACTAGAGCTATACCTAGCTGGGAGTGGGGATTGAACCAAGGTCATCTAGGAAGTGCTAACTGCTGAGCCTTCTTTCTCTTCAGCCCCACAAGTATTCTTAGATCAGAATTCCACGTGTTCCATAGTCCTTATTTATTAGGAAAGTCTTACTAAATACCTACAAAACAAACAAACAAACAAAACAAAACAACCCTGGAGATATGAAAAATCTATTTTAGAGTTTCAAAGCCTAACGGAGCCGGGCGGTGTTTGCACAGGCCTTTAATCCCAGCACTTGGATCTCTGTGAGTTTGAGGCCCGCCTGTTCTAAAGAGTGACTTCCAGAACAAGTCCAGAAAGATACTCCAAAGATACACAGAGAAACCCCCATCTTGAAAAACAACCAAAAAATACAAAACAAAACCAACCTTCCCCCCAAAAAACCCCACCTCAAATTAGTAAAATTAGGACAACCGGGTGTTGGTGGCACACGCCTTTAATCCCAGCACTCGGGAGGCAGAGGCAGGCGGATCTGCCTCTGCCTCCCAAGTGCTAGAGTTAAAGGTGTGAGCCAGCACGCCTGACTTCATAGCTCCATTCTCTAAATTCTAAATGTGAGGAGATAAATATCACAGAGGTCAGCGGACCGGAGCTGCACTGCATCTCTCCTCTTCCAAACCTTAAGTTGTCCTGAGCCTCAAAGCAAAAGGAAATGCTTTAATGTTATCACTCTTGGCCCATTATTTGTAATCCAGGTTAACAGGCAGGCTGAGGAAGGAGAACTGGGTTTGAACCCTGTCTCAAAATGAACAAGAGCGGAGGAGGAGACTATCTTGACCGGCTCAAGGCTATTCTCCACTTTATAGCTGGTTATAATGACTCAAGTCTGTACCACCAACACTTCAAGGCTCAGGCTGGAGCAACACATGTTCAAGACCATTCCTGGCTGTACATGGGCTTAAAGGCCAGCCTGGGCAGTAATAGGCCTTGTGTTAAAATAAAACCAAAAAACCTCTCATCTGTGTTTATAAAGTGTAAATCAAGCAAAAGTGAATTTTATGTTTAGACTTGCATCCTATGCCCGAGTGTTTAATCCATTCCTGTAGATCCTAAACACTCAGGGCTAGCAGTCTGGTCTGGGTAGCACTTCTTTTTCTTTTCTGCTGGGTTTACACAGGGACAGGGTTTCTCTGTGTGGCCCTGGCTATCTATGCTCACTATGTAAACCAGGCTGGCCTTAAACTTGAGATCAACCTGCCTCTGCCTCCCAAGTGCACAGGTGAGCGCCATCACCCCACTGGGTATGGATTCTTAACAAATACCTTGTGTTTGTTTGTGTTTTGGCCAGGTGATACTGTCTGTCTCCTCAGTTGCCTCTAGTTTCTCTGGCTGCTCTTGCAGCCATGCTCTCACCCTCTGTGCTGACTGACTAACCCTTATTGGGGAGGTTCTTGAGGTTCCCACTCCCATCTGCACTGTCTAGGCTGCTTCATCTATAACTACTTCAATTCTTCCCTCACTAGAGATAGCTGGCCATTTGTCTTTGTTATCTCTTAGAAACCTCCAACTCAACCTTCAAAGCACACTGGGATGGCAAGGTGGCTCCCATGGAGAGTATCAGCTCAAAGAGCCAGGTTCAATCCCCGGAGCCTCCACACAGGTGCAACTGCCTGCAAAGTTGTCCACTGACTTCCGGACCAAACTTGCTCCTCCCTCAGGAAAACACTGACTCAGGCACCGGACCCACGACTCAGCAGTTTGGTGTACTCGGCTGCTCTTTCAAAGGGTCCAGGTTTGATTCCCAGCACTCACATGGTGGCTCAAAACCAAGTGTAACGCCAGTCTCTGGGGATCAGAAGCCCTCTTCTGACAAGGCGCGCACACGGTGCACATATGCTCACGCAGGCAAAACATTCACACACACACACTCAAAACAAAACAAAACACCCCACACCCTCTTTAAATGTTTTCCACCTTACAGTCCAATACCCTCCCCTCTTGTTAAAAACTTTATTTTCAGGGAGCAGGGGGATCCCAGCACTTCAGCAGCAGAAGCGGAGGATTTCAGTGAGTTCAGGGCCAGCCTGGTCTACAGAGTAAATTCCAGGATAGCCAGGGATACACAGAGAAACCCTGTCTCAAAACAAAAACAATCAAAACCCAGAACAAAACCCAACAAAACAAAAAACGGTTTTATTTCCAGGTCTGAAGAGATGGCTCAGCAGTTAAGAGCACTGGCTGCTTGCTCTTGCAGAGGACCTGGATTCAGTTCCCAGCTATCAACCCTCTTTAATTCCAGTTCCAGGAGACCCAACGCCCTCACTGGGCATGCAGTACAAAGTAAACATTCACATAAGTAATTCTCTCCCCCACCAGCTAGACATGGTGGTGCAAATTTTAATACCAGCATTCAAGAGCCAGAGGTACATGGATCTCTATGAGTTCCAACCAGCCTGGTCTACAAAGTTAGTTCCAGACCAGTCAAGGCTATATAGTGAGACCCTGCCTAAAAAATATATAAAAACAAAAATATTTTAATTAAAAATATTTTTTCAAGTACTCCTATCAACCAATAGCCTATTACCTATTCCTTTAACTGCATCTTGACTAATAGAGTGGAATTCTTCAGTCTTTACCCTTTATCTAGTCAGTATCTGGGTGTGGTCCAGGCCACTGGACAGTGACACTTCTGTCTCCAAGGCATTACTGTTTCCTTGCCCTTCTTACAGAAGTCACTGCCAGAGCCTGGGTAAGCGGTGTTCCCGAGTCTATCTTGACCCAAGCCACCCTCCACTTTTCACTGTTGCTGTAATAAACTGATCATAAGAGATCCGGCCGGCTTTGGCTACCTAAGATTTTGTCTTAACTAAGCCGGGTCGTGGTGGTGGCGGTGGTTCTGGCGGTGGCGCCCGCCTTTGATCCCAGCACTTGGGAGGCAGAGGCGGGCGGATTTTAGAAGACAGCCTGGTCTACAGAGTGAGGTTCCAGGGAAGCCAGCCCTATGTAGAGAGACCCTTGTCTTTTAAAAACAATAAAAGTTCGTTCCAACGACAACCGATCAAACGCCTGTGGGATCGCCGTCGTCTTTCTTTCGCGTCTTTTCTACCTCCCCATGGAGTGACTTGGTGCCTCTTAAATAAGAGTTCTCGTTCCCTCCATCCCGCGCCCGCGGCGCATCGCCCAACGCTGACAGTGCCGTGCCCCTGTCCGTCCTGACCCACGCAGGGTTAACCCTCGGGGCAGCCCGCTCGCCCTGGGCCTGGCCGGCTCGCCCGCTCGCAGAGGGCGAGCGGGATTAGGGGCTCCCGGGGTGGGGGATCGCGGCCGGGCTCGTGCCGTGCTCGCCTGCACCGCGGCAGTGGAGGCGATCGCAGCTCTCCCAGCTCGCGTGCGCTCGCCCCTCCCGCTGAGCCATATGCTCGCCCTCGCCTCCGCTCGGCCG